ACTGAATGTAACACTGAATTTCATCTTTTTCTAATATTTTAAATATTTTAGCCAAGATATCTCAAGTGTTACATTCAGCTAAGGTCGGTTTTACCTTACGTTTGATTTAACTCAATATCAAAATCGATAAAACCATTTAAACACTTTTTTGATGTATGACATTTTGCTGTTCAAACATTTTGTTTAATTACTTCAATTGCAACGGGATCTGGCTCGAACATATATAGCTTTATTTTTATTTTTTAATCAGTCACTCTTTCCTAAGCTTTATTGAAAAATATTCATAATAAAAATGTATGGCCAATACATCGGTATCAGCCACAAAAATTATATCGGTCGATCCCTAATCTTCCTCATAGCCATTCTGGCTGGAAAGAGAACAGTTTTCGTATTATATCTTATATTTTGTGTTTATTACAAAGGCAATAAGTTACAAAATTAAATGTTTTCTACAGTAGTCGTAGGATCTTAAATATGAATATCTTCGAGTGGAGAAAAATGGAGTAAATTGAACTTAAAATGAGCCTCGTTTTTTTGACAGACTTGGTTTAAAATTAACCATTTCCATAATCAGTATTCCTTAACTCGATACCTTATAAGTCTGTAATTTAAATAATTTTTATATCATTGCTAACCTACATATTTAGGTTCTATATTATTCTCTAATTTCACATAAAAATTAATTGCTTGTTGAATACAGTATTACCAGACCATTCTAAAACTGAAATAAAATTCAATATAAAAAATATTTCTTTAATAACCAAAAAAACGCAACCCCTCGGTATATTTAAAAATATTTTTAAAATAGAAATATCGAGCAATTATGCACTAATGGATACACGGTATAATATAATCCCTCTGTCTTTATTGGTGATAAGCAGGTAGGGTTAGATTTATCCCAGAACACTGCTCGTATTCAGGTATGATCTTTGAATCTATATTTTATAAAACCTCTATCGTGTCCTGTCTATTCTTATCGACGTACCCCCGTAGATACGCGTTCCGATAAAAAGGCCGTACTGCTCGGTATAGGTACTTCCAAGCTCTCGACGGCACCGACACGATGACGCACTTGGTGCGACCGGTCACCTGGTGCCTCTGCGCGTCCTTGACGAAGGCGTTGTCCTCTCTAGAACGACTCTACGATGACCTTCTGGAGCGTTTTCGCACGGCGAGAGAGAGGTTCAATTGTTTTAATGGGTGGTTAACGGCCCGACTCACGGTTCAGAGGATTTGGAAATATGCGAAAATGGAATCAACGATCGGCCGGGTACATTTAATTGATAGAAATTGGTATTTTGATGTGGTCCAGTGATTTTGTCGCTTCGAATAAAAGATATTTTTTTGCGTTTTTGTCATTAAAAAGCGTTAACGCTACTGTTCATACGTACGACATCCGACTATAATTTTTTTTCATTGTTTACATAAATTTATGATAGACTTCTTTTTTTGAAGTATATAACACTGAACAATATTAAACCCACTTCCAGTAACATAATTATAAACATAATTTTCCTATATAATCTGATAAATTAATAACTGCTACATAATATACAGGGTGTTTCCGAACTTGGCGACCAAATTTGTAGGGGTGGTAGTTCGAATAATTTGAGACCGATTCGCAGATTTCATTTTTCCAAAATATTTCAAATATAAATTAATTAACAATTACAAACAAGTACGGTCCTGCACAGCGATGGGACGCCTCGACGCGCACGCGCTACGCTTAGAATCGACAACATTGCAAATCGCATCTGTTTTTGAGGACTATTGCGCTACGCGCTCAGGGTAGGACCTGCTCTTTGATTTTTTTTTAATGGCACTATTTTGTTTAATATAATTTTTTTAGAAAAATGAAATCTGTCAATCGCTCTCAAATTATGCGAACTACCACCCCTACAAATTTGGACGCCAAGTTCGGAAACACTCTGTATGTTGTTTTAAAATAATTAAGGAAAAAACAAGAAAATTTATAAGAATAACTAAAATTTCTTTCATAATAATAAATAAGGAAAAATACTTAATAAAACTTACTAAAAAATGCTATTCAATTTGAGCCCAAAGGCTCTGAAATGACAAACAACTCTTTGAAGTTACAATTTAAAACTGAATGTCTAAGATATTCCCAAAAATAATTTAGAAATAAAAGGTTTAAGAGAAGAAATTATATCACAAGTTTCACCTCCAAGTTATAAATTTTAGTTTAAAACTGGAGACTTTTCATTATATTACTGCTTAACGTTTAGTTGGTGACAGCTGACGTTGTCTAGTGACTAGTTTTCTTGGATATTTCATGCCAAATTAGCACTTGTAAATTTCGTAGACATTTTTGATTTTTATGTTTATTATGTCTTAGTTGTACTATTTATGCTGTGTTTAACACAAGTAAATACATGTATCTGTAAGGGTTGTCCCACAGCTCTAAAACCTTACTAAGAACATGGGCATTACTTAGATTATTTCGAAAAATGTTAAATAAAAAAAATGTTTTCTCCCCCCCCTTCTTTGAATGAGCCAAACAATTGATATTTATGTTTTATTTTATTTGATATCAAAAAACTGGCAGATGGTCTAAAAAGGAAATTAGCAATATATATGATATATGTATTCTTCTGCAAGAAGATCTCTAAAAACTAAATGAATGGTCTGAGAAAAATAAATTGTTTTTCAACAGTAGTAAATGTTTCAAGAAGGATATCTCTATTATCTATAACTACCGGTTTGGATGATAATAATAATTTAGTATAAGTTGCTGAGGCAAAGGATCTTGGTGTTTTATTTGACCAGAAACTAAGTTTTTACTTATGTTGGGAATGGGGTGTTAATACACTGCGACCTAAAAGATCCATTGTGTCCCCTTCTATCGCTAATGCACCAAGGAAATGTCTTAATGCCTCTAACGACCCTTCCAATCCTATCTTCACAAGGAAGTGTAGGATTTGGAGTGGCTTCAAGTTAGGTAAATCTCAGGCAGATGCTGGCTTCCGATCTTTTCTGGTTATATTCACCCAGAAGTATTTTAGCCTGTCTCAGCCCCAAGAGATTGTTCCAATTATCGGTTCTTCTATTGCCCAATTATTTTTTAATCTCTCCTAATATTATGTTACTGCTGATACCGCAAAACGGCTCAAGTCCTACGAAGGGTGTTTGAGCCCTTTTCCTTGCAAGACTATCTGCAATCTCGTTACTCCGTACCCCGTTATGTCCCGTTATCCAAGTGAGAGTAACTCTATTTTTCTGGCCTAGCTCATTCAATTGTGCTAGGCATCTCCAGGCCATTTTTGAGCTGATTACGTAAGAACTCAGCGCTTTGATGGCTGCTTGGCTATCGGACATGATGATAATATCTTGTCTATGATAGTTTCTCTGGATGTTAAACTAGATACACTTCTCGATGGCGTGAATTTCTGCCTGGAAGATGCTTGGGTATTTTCCCAAGCTTTCGGAGTGCTTGGTTCTCGACACATACACTCTACACTCCTATTCCAGTTTTGGAACCTTCCGTATACCACTGAATAACATGTCTTTCGGTTGCAAGCGCGATGGATTCTTGGCTCCATTCTTTCTTGCAGCCCAGCTCTTGAAGTTTTTCACAAAACTGTACTTCTTTAGTATTTCATCCTGGGGCATGTCTCAGGTATCTTTAGTCCTGAAGCAAATAAAATTTTGTCTGATTACTTCGTTCCTGATCATTCTATTTCGTGTCCTTTTGCCACATTCTCTATCATCAAATGTAGAGTCTTTGTACTTTTGAGATATTGGCTCTCGTAGTAGCTAAACTAGTTCTATTACGCCAGGCTATAGCCCCGTAAGCGATGATTGATCTCACTATTGCAGTATACATCCATCGCAGTATGTTTGGGTTACATCCCCATCATTTACCTGCAATGTTTCTGCATACCATTAGGACTTTTGTGGCCTTATTTACTACTTCCTTCTCATGTGTGTTCCAGAGAAGTTTGTTATCCAGGGTTAGGCCTAGATATTTGACTTAATTTTTCCATTCTATATCTATCTCGTCTAATTTAACGGTTTTGAGATTAAGTTTTCTTTTCCTTGAAAAGGCTACTAGTGTTGTTTTTGTAGAGTTTATACGACACGACACCATCTTTTGGTATGTTCTAGTCCTCGTTGGACTATATCACATAGGATATTTCTAAACTTGCCTTTAGCAAATATGTCGTCGTCGACATAACCTTGACAGGGTATGCCGAGGTCAGTCAATCTGCATAGAAGTTCGTCTACGGTTAGGATTCACATTATTGGGGGTAGAACTCCTCCTTGTGGACATCCTCTGGTTGTGCAGATGGAGATGGTGTCCTGCCCTATCTATGTATCTGCTGTTCTCGTAGATAACAGCTGAACCATCAATCTGGATGTGATGTTATCTACTCATCTGTATGTGAAAAGCTCCTTCTATGTTTAGGAAGGCTTACACGACCGTTTATTTGTTTATCAGTGCATCCTGGATTACGTCAGTCAACTGTATCAGGGCAGTTTTTATAGAACTTCCAGCTCGGTACGCATGTTGGCTGTGCTGGAGTGGCACCCTCTCCAGAATTGCCGTTCTGATATAATTATCAACAGCCTTCTCCATTGTTTTTAATACAAAGAATGTGAGGCTAATTGGTCGGAAGGATTTAGGGTGTGTGGTATCCTTTTTCCCTACTTTTGTAGTTTTTACTAACAATTTCAATTTGTTCTTAATCGTGCAATGAAGAATCTGGTTTTTTATTAGGATTTGTCGAAAATTTAGATCTTACGATTAATTAATACACCTACAAAGTAGATATTTATCGTAGAGTAGGAACCTAATTAGCTAGCTAAATATTCAGTTCCGACCAGACCAGAGTCCTTGTTATACAATTGGATTACTAGATAACTAAATGTTTTACTTTCTTTGTTATAAGAAATGGGCTGAGGATGTACCGCCATTCTTTATTAGTAATTGCGCCATATTTCTTCGACTTCTTGTATTGGGTCCCTTTCTTCTATTACACCATTTTTCGACATCGTCTACGATCATCCTAACTAAACAGTTTTCGAATTCGAACCAATGTTTTAATTACCCCGTTGTGACATCATGTATCACTGCTTTAAAGTTCTTTCCATCATACTCTTGGTTTGCGATTTGGGCCAGACCAATTGGTGAACAGTAGATCACCATCGAGATATTCTACTTCCGATGTAATAGACCATTGCGAAGGCATTCTTTTTCATCATATTTGGAGACTTCTTCCTCAGTCTAACTTCTTTTTCCAGCCATTTTCTTATTAATCTCATATTTAAAAGTCAATTGATTACTTGAAAACAAGGTACTTCTATATTAAGCTAATCTGGACATTATGATATGGAGCTATAGGGTTGTAGCCAACCATCAAACCAAAATATTACAAACATTCCAGTCTTAAACAATTCGAACGATAGATAATGTTCCATGGTTTGTTTAAGCAACCACACATTTCACGCTTTCCAACCATTAATGAACTGATCCAGACCTTAGCTAACAAAAACAAAATTAGGAATGCAAATCATACAAATCCACTTATCGTTAACCTATAAACTGATCCTATTGAACGCAAAAGACTAAAACGTCACTGTCCAGAGGACGAACCTCTTAGAGCAGGCCTGCACAACTCAAGATTTTTAAAGGGCCAGTTTGAGAAACCGTAAGTAAGAGAGACCTGAGTCTATAGTGGTTCTAAAAAATAGCTCCTCACGTTATAATTCTGCCGAGCTTTTCCTAAAAAAAAAGTTCTTAGCCTAAATATCAGTTATAATTTGACGTAGGCGAGCCAAACTAGTAAACGGCCAATGGGCCACCAAAACGACAATGGCGGGCCGCATGTGGCTCGCGAGCCGTATGTTGTGCAGGCCTGTCTGATAGTGAACCTCGGAGACCCATCGATGGATGGTGCCCAACTTATGCCGCTTAACAAGAAATCAAACCAGTTACTTTGTATACTTTCAAGCAGATTGTAACTTTGCAGTTTAATTTAAAAAAAAACATTGATTTTTTGCAAAATTTAATTTTTTTATCAAAATCTTTTTTTTGTGAAGGCGTAACTGCTACTGTTTAGACAGGCGAAAAAAAATCCACCTTGGCCATGACAATTATTATTACACACAAAAGTCAACGACATTGGAAGCTTGAATAAAAAATAGTTCCGTAAGTCACTTCTTATTTGGTCAAAACCCGTACAAATTAATACAATTCGCGTGCCGGTATGAACCTAGCGACAGCAATAATTATTATTAATCGCATGTAAAAATTTAAAACAATTTTGACGTCTGCCATTGTCAAGAAAGTTTTACTTCACAGCCATTGGGAAGAAATTCTTTACATCTCTAGGGCATAAAAAAAGTAAGTAGTTTAAGAAAAAGTATAAAATTATTTTGTCTAATAAAATTGCCAGTCATTAAAATTTTTTTTGAAGGTGGAAAATGCTTTTATGCACACCTCTACGTTGTTTAGGGGGTATTGTAGAATTCTACCACCCACTAAAAACCACCCGAGACCTCTCTCGGGACTACCTTAGCGGTATAACGTCGGGGGAGATCGCCGTCTTTCTGAAGCTCTTGGGCCTTTCTCGTCTTTTTTTGCTTAAGGACTTCAATAATAAAGCGATGTCCACTTCTCCATTTTCTTCTTCGCCTTGCATTTACCAATTCGTTTGGTCTCATTTCCTCCATGTTAAAGTCTAGGACTGACATTTCGTTGTTCGTCCACCTCTTCATTGCAATAGACTCACCTCGTATCTGGGACCTTACCAATCCTGTGCGTATATAATCTAAAACATCCATGCCCATAAGAAATTGGGTTAAATAATAATCTGTTTGAAACGGCAGTCCAGCCATCCTGTCAGATCGGGTATAAGAGTCTTTGTTCACTGTGCTACTCTTTCCAGTTCTGCCCATCTTCGCTTCCACGTTTCAAGTGTCACTTCTCTTTCTCTTGTTTTGTCTACTTCTGGTCCCCTGCCAGCTCTGTAGAGCCTGCTTCGCTCTTCTATTTGGATATCAATCGGGAGGATACCACCGATGACAGCTACGGCTTCTCCGGATACCGTCCTGGACGCGCAGGTGACTCTAAGCAGCATTTTTCTTTGCGTACTAAGTAGTATGTTTTTGTATTTTTTTGTCTTGACTGCCCTTTCCCATACGGGTGCCGCATACAGGATCACTGCTGCAGCTACGCCCGATAGCATTCTTCTGCCCATTATTCTAGGGCCTCTCGTATTCGGTAATAGTACAGGCAGGGCCGCTGTTTGTCTTTTAGGTTTCTCGCAAGTTTTTCTCACGTGTTCACTCAATACGAGCTTATCATCGAGTCACACGCTCAGATATTTCACGTATTTGCTGGAGGTCACTATCGTGTCTCTGATATTAAAAACGATATCCGTTCTCTTCCTTGGTTCCTTCAGGATTATCGCCTCCGTCTTCTCCGCCGCAATATATACTTCCTGAATTTCAATTCAGTGACTCATGACTGTTATTGCCTCCTCCGCTTTTTCAATTAGGTCGTCTTTTCTGTTTGCTCGTACTACAAGCGCGAGGTCGTCTGAATAGGCCACCGTGGAACATCCTTCAGGCATGATAATCATTGTAGGCCACGTTCCATAATAAGGGGCCCAACACTGAACCCTGTGGAACTCCTTGTTGCATACCGAAAGTGATCTTTCCCTGAAGTATTCCCCGGTTATATTTAGTAGGTAGTCACTTGGTCTTCGTGAGCGCCTCTTGCTTCATTTGGCGGTGTTAAACGCGTTCTTAATATTTATAAAGATCACCGCCCCCAGATCCATCCAGGGCAAGTTGCCTCTATGATCACGTATTCGATCGCTTGGATTGTTGACTTCCCTTCTCTGAATCCGAACTGTCTATCTGATAGACCTTGGTTTGCGGTTATCTCTTCTTCACCAGGTGTTCTATTAGTTTGCCCATGATGTATATTAGACATATCGGCCTATATTTTCTTTCCCCAGCACTCGTGCCACCCTTAGGAATCAAAACTACCTTGGCCTTTTTCCGACTTGTAGGGAAATTTTGTGTCTTGAGGAACTGGTTGACCATATTAAGCACTAGACTTGGGATTTCTTCGACAGTGATCTTAATGGATTATGGTTGGATACTTTCTTGTTTTAAGCTTTGCCACATCGCTCTTAAGCTCCTCTAGTCTAAAGGGGGTGGCTCTACACACCTTATCTTACCAGAAATTGGGTTGTCTCTTGTTTGGGAAAAAAGTTCCTTGACCTTTTTCACTATCGTAGCTTCTAGTAGCTCGTACGGTTCCAACAGATTCTTGAACCTGTCTGTGACTATCCGGTACCCGTTTCCCCAAGGGTCATTTTCCAGGTTGTCGCACATCTCTCTCCAGCAGTAAGACTTCGACTTCTTAATGCTACTTCGTAGGTTCCTTGTCGCTCCCTTATATTCTAGCTCTAAGTCTTCAATAGCTTACTCCTGTAATCCTTTTTCCTTTCCCCTTGTTAGCTTTCTTCTAGATTGTACGCAGATATCTCTGGATTCCACCAGAAAGGTTGCTTTCTATTTGTAGCTCTGGTCTTGGTATCGCTCATTTTTTGCGCTTTTTTTACAGCCATTATAAAATCATCTAGCTCTAGATCCATCTCTCTATTGATGACAATTTGGAGCAAAACTCTAAGTAGTGTTTTATCCAGAAACCATACTCCTTGGTTTTTGGTTGATTTGATGCAGGTATTTCCTCTAATACGGAACGTGATATATCTGTGGAGGCTTAGAGATTCTTCGTCCGGGTGTACCTTCCACTCTGTTATTTTTTCCACAGTGTTCTAGGAACAAAACGTTAGATCCAAGAAACATTTCTGTTCCCTCCTGGCGAAGGTTGGTACCCTGCCGTCATTTATTATAGTTAGGTCCAGTGAATGTATTCATTTCTCCACATATGCCCCATGTGTATTTAGGGTTCCTGAACCCCAGAGAGGTGATTTAGAGTTAGGTCCCCCACGACTATCATCTCTTTACCCAACCCTCTGATGTCCTCCATGAGCGTGTCAATATTAAGCCTCGGAAGGTTTCTCTATTTGAGTTGATACAATAAGTTTATAATTAACTAATTTGATGTCGACATTTAAGTTCAATTTTTTATTTATAGACTTCTGTTCTTTTTAACAATAATAATACTAATAATAAATACGTTTATTACACAATAAAATAAAACATATAAATGCAACATAAGAAATATCGAGTAAATGACAGTTCAGTTGTTAAGCCTTTAGGATTTCTGTAAATCCTAATTATTCTTAATTAATAAAGTGTTTTTAATTATCTATAATTTCTACACTTGATTTTACTTGGTTTTAAGTCAATTAAAATAAAGCAGATAGAAAGAAGTCCATTATTATTAATAACGGCAAATCGCGGTCCTACCAACTGGCACGTGTATTACAATGGATAGCCGCGTTGTGGCATAAATTATGAAAAAATAATTGCGAAATTTTCAATCGACATATCGAGTATTATACCTAGAGAAACCGTGTCGTTGACATTCTAAAAAAGTTGGGAGAACACCTGTGTCACAGACATTTAATAATAATTATTCTGCCCACATCGTTTGGTATCCAGTGGCGTGGAGGAGGAGAAAGTACGTGCGGGAGAAAAATATATTAGTAAAACAAATATTTAAAAAATATGTATATGAGAAGCAATGTTGCTTTTTCTACGATTGTTATACAATTGTTCATGTTCTGCGTTCGAGCATGACACGGCGAACTGACTATCGGGACGTTGTACAGTCTTAAAAGTAGTCAAAAGTAATAGCGAAATATTTAAAATTATAACCATTTGCTATAGTGATGAGTACATTAGCTCCCACAAAAAAATCGTCAGTTGATATTTGGTTTTAGTGGAATTATTGCAGTTTTCCTTACTTATTGGTTAAATAAGGTCTTTAATTGCTTACAATTCGTTAATTTGTCATGAGTTGTAAGAAATAAAAAACCTATTGGGAAAAAGTAAAACGTTAATTAGTAATTTTATCAATTT